GCAGGTCAAGGTTAAAGGATAAGTTCACCTTTTTAACAAAAATAATAAATGCACATTTTTTTACATTTAAAAAAATGTGCATTTATTATTTTTGTCTGCAAGAGCCTGGAAAGCATGGCACCAGCAATCAGTAGATCACTGATGGCATGCAGGTCTCCTGCAGACCTTTCAAAATATCTGCTTGTCGTACGGGATGTACGAGCAAGCAGATATTCTGACAGGAAGCTTCAATGAACTACCACGGCACTCCACAGCACCATGGTAGTTTATTGAAAACTACAAGCCCACAGCTGCTAAGGCTGCAGGGACTTGTAGGCATTCATTCGCAGAATATGGGTGGAGCCCAACACGGCTGTTTTCAAATATGACAGATAGTATGGGGAAACTTCTCCCCGTACTATCTGTCAGAGGGAGGGAGCAGCAGGCATGGTCGCAACTATGGGAGCATGTTACATGTTCCAACCCTAAAAACAAGTGGAACATGTAACATGTTCCCAAAGGTGAACGTATCCTTTAAATAATGCAGTGTACAGCTACCCCCACAGGAGCCACTTGTTTGTTGCCCCGGTTTCCCCTTACTTCGCCCTGCAGCAAGACACAGTGTCTTTCTGCAGCCAAATACACACACTCATTATCTTCAATGACCAGTCTAGGGGATGTTTGTTTTTGGAGTTTATTGTAGAACTGGGGATACGATTGGGAATTGTAGTAGGATACTCCAAAATTAGAACGATTCACACTGAGGACATCTATCCGATCTCTTCATTGAACACTTGAAGTCTTGCCTGTCAGTAGATAGCAGACTTCCATTTGTCACATATAGCAGCAAGTAGTTTAGGAGTGAGCAAAGTCCTTTTAGCAGTAGTAGTAGTTACAGGGCTGAGCTCCTCAAGTATATGCCAGTTACGACAGACTATGACAGCCCAAAGGTAATGTAGCTAAGCAAAGTCCTTTGCAGTAGCAACACTTGGACAATCCTTTCGGAACACTAGTCAGTGTTCTCTTTTTCCAGACACACACTGCCGATCAAACCCCAGGGGAGGTAGCAAGCACACAGTGACCCCAAGTTCCTCAATGTCAGTACTCACGGTACTCAGTACTGACAAGGCCCAAGGATAGAATGGATGCCTCCTTCCAATCTTCGAAGAAAAACCCTCCAGAGATACCAGACAGAGCCTTGGCAGACAACTCCCCTCAGTCAGCTTCCTGCAAAACCAGGATCACTCTCTCAAACTTCAGACCCTCAGATCGACCCACCTGAGGCCACATGGCAACAAGAACAAGTGCCAGGCGAGGCAGCCTGCCTCCAGCTTGGCTAGTGCAACCCACCCCTGAGAAAGCCCACTGCGCTTATGTGCTCTCAGAATATAAATACCACTCCCAACATGCAATGGGACTACCCTCCCTTGCAAAAGGCTCTCATAGCTTCCTGAAGGCGGGCAGACCTCAAACAAACTCCAACAGCACCAGAGCAGCATGAGCAGACCTAACTAAGCAATAACAGCACTCTGTAAAGCAGAATACCACACTGAATTTACCTGACTGCCTCTCTGGTAAGCAGAGAAACACAGCTATACTTAACATAACTATACACATCTTAGAACCTGACTAGGGGGGTGCTACAGCAGAAGGTGCAGAGGTCATGAATAAGTAATTTACAGAGTATGGAGGTCAGTCTGTCCAGTAGATATCACAATATACTGTGGGCATCCTAGGCATTGTCCTTGGGTACCAGGCAGAGTATTTCTTGCAGTGTGCAGGCAATATCTCAACAGTTGCATTGTGCAAGTGTTAATCAAAAATGGCGCCGCTGGATTTATGTGTACATGTGAAGTGATAGCTCCAGCATTGTCAGTTTGGACTGACACGTGCTTAGTGCTGCCTTTGAGTTGGTACCTGCACATTGCAAGGTTTACCGTATGCTACCAGGCTCCCAAAGATGATGCCGGGGACAACTGTTCCTGATCGACATGGACAGATGGCATGCTTATGTTGTACATCATAGAACTGCTGAAGATGAACGTCAGGTGGCACAGTGAGTACAGGAAAAGCTTCACATATGACATCAACACTACTTGCAGGCAGTGATGTAAAATGGGATATGAAGTCTTTAGAAATTGAAAGTAAACCACATGAAGCACATAAGAAGGAATCTAGGAGGTTGTTGGAAAAAATGAATGGCAAACAGGCAATGGTAAAAACATTAAAAGAGTTTTTTTTTCAAGTAAGCTGATGGGTTCATTCACACTATCTATGATGACCACATTTTTCTGCAATGAATAAAAGCAGGTCGCCACTAGGGCACATAAAAACAATTGTTTTCTATGTGCACTTTTTACACGACGATATGGTGTGATGTATGGTGCAGTATAGTGCAGAACAATGCACCATGTCTGCATTTTTCCATAGTGCACTGGATGACAACTTATGTCAACACATTGCAATGCAATGCACCTTGTTGCTGTGCAATGACACTTCAAATAAAGTAAAAAAATAAAAAAGTACTTTAATACACAATGCTAGTATGAACCTGAATTGGACATCCTGAAATTATAAGGCCCAATGCACACTGGGTATTAATCCCCAATGCATGAAGCTCCGGCATCTAGCTGTGGCTGGATGGTGCACCAGATGCTACTGACATTTGTATGCATCCTGACTGCCTTAAATGTTAGTAGTGCTCATTGTACCATCCAGCCCCAGAAGCTGTCAGCCTCTCATAGAGATTAACAGGCTGCTGGTAGCTGGACTGAATGGTGCTCCTGTGTCTTCTGCCTGCACCTAAACGATAGAATCTCATGCATCGGGGATAAACACCCCAAGAAACTGAAAATCCTAGTGATGACCCAAAAATCATTGCTGAAAATCAACAATAAAGTACAGTAAAGTGTACTAGTTCCATAAAAATAACCAGGAAATCCTCCCAAAAATAGCAAAAGCAGAGCCCAACAGCCCTATGTGGTTCTATGATAGCTCAAGCTCAGACTTTAGGAAAGAAAATATATCTTCACACATTTATTGAGGACTATTCCGATTTTACAGTACATCCCCCCCCCTACTTATCCACCTCTGAGCACCATTCCTTGGTTCCACCCCCTACTCACCTCCCAGCACTATTCCTTTTAGAGAATACAGAGCCAAGTCTTTTGGACTAGGTCACCTACAGACCATTTACCGTGATCTACCAGTGAGCCAAATTAATATAGAATTACGTGCACATGGAAGCAAGACACTGACACTGTTGCAGTTTGCCAACTTCCTAAAATTCTGTTTTATTGAGGAACTAACAGTATCATTTATAGGTCTTATGATGCAGGCAAAGCATATACATTGATTGGGTGAAAAGTCCACTGGGTTTCTGCGTGTTCTTCCATCCGTGTTGATATCTTCCAATCATTGTCCCCAAAACGAATTATTCCCTTTTATGGGGGTTGTTTACGTTAAAGTCACCTAGGGTGAGACTCCGGATGGGCTCCATCTTAATTATCATTGTTCTGTCAACTTATATCTGATTGTTTTCTTAAGAGAGTAAGGAATTTAAAGAGCAAGAAGCAGAAAGTAGCAAGACTATAAAATTGTCATTTTACTGATCATCTAATAAAACGTGGACTGTCTATCACAATCCACTACACAAGTATCATTTTGTGGTGCTAAACAATTTGTATGGAATTTTTTAATGAAAAGCAGTAAAATATATCCCTTGTAGCAATAGAGCCCCCTCCAGCAAGACTAGATTCCCCCAGAAACAATGAACCCCCGCACCAAAATATCACTCCAACAACAATAGACCCCCAGCAGCAACAACAGACCTGCTAGCAGCCAACATCAATATACTCTACAGCAGCCAGCATCAATAAACCCCTCCTTCAATAGTAGATCCCTTCCAGTGACAATAGACCTCCCCAGCAACAATAGATCCCCTCCAGTGACAATGCATTCCCCATCAGGCAGCATCAATAGACCTCCCAGCGCACCCCTTGCCATTACATACATTCAGTGCAGGAGGTGATGGAGGTGTCAGAAACTATGTTCCCCTGTGTTCCCGCTGAAAAAAGCCCTAACTTTATGTGATTGTAAACCTTCTCATATACCCAGTGAAGTGACCAGCCAATGGTGATACACAGAGATGAAACAAATCATCCTACATATGTTGTACCTGATTAACTTCAGCCTGCTCTTCTCTACATGCACTGAAAGCACAGAATTTACACAGGATCTCTCAGCTCTGAAATGCAGGGGGCGGGAAGCTGTAGTTACACTCTGCAGAGCTCATTGAGGGAGCACTGAGCCTTGATTGGAGGGAAGGGACACCCCCCCCCCTCACACAGCACAGAGAAACAGAGCTGAGGCAATTGGCTGGAGCTCCCTCCTCCATCACCATTTTTCTCTTGGTGTCAGGAAAACTTGTCAGAAATTACTCATGAAGATAGCAGAGGAACGCAGCAGGAGAAAGAGATGACACTTAGTGCTCTGGATTAAGAAAAGTGCACACTATGTAGAGATATGCTTTGTTCATATTTAATGTCTCAGGTTTACAACTACTTTAACCACTTGCCTACAGTGCACTTATACCCCCTTCCTGCCCAGACCAATTTTCAGCTTTCACTGTTGTCGCACTTTGAATGACAATTGTGCGATCATGCAACACTGTACTCATATGAAATTTTTATCACTTTTGAGACAGAGCTTTCTTTTAGTGGTATTTATTCACCTCTGGTTTTTTTTTATTTTTTGCTAAACAAACCAAAAACAACTGAAATTTTTGAAAAAAATATGTTTTTTTCTTAGTTTCTGTTATAAAATTTTGTAAATGAGTGATTTTTCTCCTTCACTGATGTACGCTAATGAGGCTGCAGTGATGGGCACTGATAGGCTGAACTGATGGGCACTGATAGGGGGCACTGATAGGGGGCACTGATGAGGAGGCACTGGTAGGTGGCACTGATGGGCATTGACAGGCATCACTGATGGGCACTAAAAGGCAGCACTCATATATGGCACTGATAGGTGGCACTGACAGGTGGCACTGATAGGTGGCACTGACTGGCACTGTTAGGTGGCACTGATGGACACTGATAGGCGGCACTGATGCGCACTGATAGGGGGTACTGACTGGCACTGATAGGCAGCACTGACTGGCACTGATACCTGGCACTGATTGGCAGCAATGATAGGCGGCACTGACTGGCATTGATAGGTGGCACTGAAAGGCATCTCAGATGGGCACTGATATGTGGCATTGATGTGCACTGGTAGGCACTGATACGTGGCATTGATGTGGCACTGCTGGGCACTGGCTGGTGGCATTGGTGGACACTGACAGGTGGCACTGCTGGGGCTACACTGATCATCAGGGCACACTGATTATCAGTGCTCTGATGATCTGTGTACATGTCCCCTCTGAGGAATGCCGATTACCTGCTCTCCTCTCCTCACAAGCTGTCAGCGTGACATCTCGTGAGGCGAGAAATGCTGATAACCGGCATTTCCTTATTTACTGTACATGTGATCAGCTGTGATTAGACACAGGGCAGAGAGAGAGAGAGAGGAGAAGAGAGAGAGAGGGGGAGAGAGAGGGCAGAGAGAGAGAGGGGGGGAAGCGAGAGAGGGGGGGGAGAGAGAGAAGGAAGAGAGAGAGTAAGGGCAGAGAGAGAGGGAAGAAAGAGAGAGGCAAAGAAAGAGGGGGGGGCAGAGAGAGAGGGGGGAGAGAGGGAAGAGAGAGGAAAGAGAGAGGGCAGAGAGAGGGAAGAGAGAGAGGAGAAGAGAGAGAGAGGGCAGAGAGATAGAGAGAAGAGAGGGGGAAGAGAAGAGAGTGAGGGAGAGAGAGAGAGAGAAGAAGAAGAGAGAGAGGGCAGAGAGAGGGGGGACTTGTCACTGTCTTTCACTATAGCCATATATTTCTATAAAAAATGAAAAACTGGTGACAAGAACCTGTCTGACCTTTCACCTGAGCTTATCACATGTCAGACAGCACACAGGTGGATAGAGATCGGTGTTTTTCTTGACTCCATTTGTAGCATTTTCCCTGCAGGAGGTGCTTGAGATGATGGGTTCTCTGTTTTGCCTCTTATGACTCTTTAGGCTGCTCAGTCCTCACTGACACACCTGGTTATAGGGTGAAGTCCATTCATTCCTGTGTAACTTAAGTGTTATTAGGCTACAACCCTATAATGGTACACAAAAAATGGGAAAAGGTCAACTGGATAGTATATAACAGGTGTATTAGGTGTATCAACAAGCAGACAACTGAACAGCTGTAAAGATGTAGCACAAGATAATGTGAACACTGACCCATAACATGGTATTGAGCTGCAATAATGTTAATCTAAATTATAACTGGAGCAAACAGGGTGAATAGTAACGGCATTAACTAACTCAAAAAATAAAAGTCTTTGTGTGCACACTGCAAACAACCACAATAGTGGGTGGTGCATATGTGTTCCTGACGAAGGGATACCCCTGAAGATGTCTATATAGTACTGCAACCTAATTGTCAGTGTTTCATGGGGCCCTTCTGTAAGGTGGTGCATGTGAAGCTGTCCCTTTAAGAGTTTTTAATGTGTGGTCGATAGGCTGTTAAGTTCACTGATGCACTAGCTGTGTGTAGCAAGGGATTAAGTGTTGTATTTCTTCTCACCATTCCTAGCAGGCAGCAGGTCTGGTCCCTTATGTTTGGCGGTCAGCTGTTCTAGAAGTTGCAATCCTCACAATCAGTTCCTTACTGGTTGTTCATGACTGTAGGCATGCACTGCAATGGGTCCCTCCAGTTTTGGGTTCCAGCACAGAAGAAGAATTCTCAGTTTCTCAGTCCTTTGGTCACCCCAGCAATGGGTCCGCACTGCTCCAGGTACCCGCACACAGGAGTGAACTACTTTAATGCTTGTATAATGTATTGATCTTCCTAGTGAAATTACATGGTTTCCTAGTGTAGGAAATTACACTAAGGATCATGGATGCTGGACAATACAAGTGAACGACTGCAGAACTACAGCACCCACAATTCCCTGTGGGTAGAAGGAGAGAGGAGAACTTCTCCCGGGTTTTTAGATTTGGGTCAATTTACTAAATGCAGATTGGCTTTTCACATTGAAAAGGAATTTTTATTCTGCGTGGGATTTTTCTCTTAGCTTATTGAATGAAGTGAAGCTCTGCTGATTGCCATCATTTATGCATGTGCAATCAAAAATATGTTTTTTTTTTTCCTTGAATGTGATTGGGTATTCTTTGCAAAGTGAATTTTTACTCCACTTACTAAGTCAACGGAAAAAATTCCTTTGTAAAGCTAACATCCTATTTACCTTTAGTAAATGAAATCATACGATGTGACTTTTGCTCCAGTTGAATAACAGTACTATTGGAACCTTCTGCCTATAGCAGCCCCCATGAGCATAAAATTGTGGAATGTTATGACATCAAATGGCTCTTTTCAATAGTGACATTGAAGAGGAATTGTACGTGACACAAGCAGAATGGTATGCTGTATAAGAGCTAGGGAAAAACATCTTGTTTATAAATTACAAAGATCACTGTATGGACTGAAACAGTCAGCTAGAGTATGGAATTTAAAATTGAATAACTTCTTGTTAGCCAAAGGATTAACAAGATGTAAAGCTAATCCAGGTCTATACTCTAATTGTACAGATGGGAAGTGGATGTATTTGCTGCATTATGCTGATGACTTGATTATTGCTCACAGAGAGGATGAGGAAATTGCAAAAATGAGTACAGCACTCAACAAACACGTTAAAAATAAGGACCTAGGAGATGTTCCTAACACCTAGGTATTCAAATGCAGGGTAAGAAAGATGGAAGTTTCCTGCTAAATCAAAGTACTAATTTATGTGATCCTTAAATAGTTCGGTATATGGCAGAATGCAAAGGTAAAAGTACATCAGAAGAAACCACTTACCTAAAGTAGCAAAGAGAAGATCTTCCGACTAACAGTGTACAGTACAGACAACCACTGGGGACACTTTTGTGCACTGCAATTACTACAATTGCAAATATAGGAGCTACTATGTCACTTTTCTGCAGATGTGTATGTATACCCTGGCAAAATGGAATGCACTCAAGAGAGTCATACAATGCCTAAAAGAGGAAAAAACATGAATCTGAGATTATCTGTAAATGGTGACATAGAAGTCATTGGATATGTGGACTTCGATAAGGCAGGTGATCCCAGTACTCACAAATCTACAAGTGGTTGTTTATTGCAATTATAGCAATTATTTAGCCAAACAAATGGCATTATCTTCTCCAAAAGCTGAATACATCTTGACAGTTTATGTTTGTCAAGAAGAGATGTCTTAGCCAACTGTTTTGTATGAAGACAGTCAGGGATGCGTAAAGCTTCCAATGAGTGAGAAGATCAATGCCAGAACCTAGCATACTGATGTTGGATACCATTATCTTTGAGACCTTGTGGAACAAAATATGCTGGAATACTGGGAAACTGATAAGATGATACTGGATACTACTATGACAAAATAACTACCAAAGCCAAAGTTAGATGAGAATTAGCTGTTGAGAGGGTATGTACAGTTGCAAGAAAAAGTATGTGAACCCCTTGGGATTACATGGAGTTTAGCATGAATTGGGCATAAAATGTGCTCTGAATGTCATCTAAGTCACAATAATAGAAGAACACAGTCTGCTGAACATAATACTACACAAAACATTAGATGTTGCCATGGTTTAATTGCACATAACATGTAAAAATTCACAGTGCAGGGAGGAAAAAGTATGTGAAGCCCTAGCTTAATGACTTCTCCCAGAGCTAATTGGAGCCAGGAGTGAGCCAACCTTGACTCCAATCAGTGTGATGATATTGGATGTGTTGCTGACAGCTGTCCTGCCCTTAAAAAACACACACCTGTTTTGGGTTTACTGGTTTCAAGAAGCACTGTCTGATGTGGACCATGCCTCGCAGAAAAGAGCTATTAGAAGACCTACGATCAAGAATTGTTGACTTGCATGAAGCTGGAAAGGGTTACAAAAGTATCTCCAAAAGCCTTGATGTTCATGTGTCCACGGTAAGACAGACTGTCTACAAATGGAGAAAGTTTAGCACTGTTGCTACTCTCCCTAGGCGTGGTCGTCCTGTAAAAATGACTGCAAGAGCACAGCGCAGAATGCTGCACGAGGTAAAGAAGAATCCCAGAGTGTCCGCTAAAGACCTACAGAAATCTCTGGCACATGCTAACATTTTTGTTGACACATCTACAATAAGGAAAACATTAAACAAGAATGGAGTACATGGGAGGACACCACGGAGGAAGCCATTGCTGTCCAAAAAGAATATTGCAGCACGTTTGAAGTTTGCAAAAGAGCACCTGGATGTTCCACAGCACTACTGGCAAAATATACTGTGGACAGATGAAACCAAGATTGAGTTGTTTGGGAAGAACACACAAACACTATGTGTGGAGAAAAAAAGGCACAGCACACCAACATCAAAACCTCATCCCCACTGTGAAACATGGCGGAGGAAGCATCATGGTTTGGGGCTGCTTTGCTGCCTCAGGGCCTGGACGGCTTGTCGTCATTGATGGGAAAATGAATTCCAGAGTTTATCAAGACATTTTGCAGGAAAAACGTATGACCATCTGTCTGCCAACTGAAGCTCTGCAGAGGATAGGTGATGCAACAGGACAATGACCCAAAGCATACAAGTAATTCAACAAAACAATGGCTGCAACAGCACAGAATACGCCTTCTGGAGTGGCCCAGTCAGAGTCCTGACCTCAACCCGATTGAAATGCTGTGGCATGACCTTAAGAGAGCGATTCACACACCAGACATCCCAAGAATATTGCTACACTGAAACAGTTTTGTGAAGAGGAGTGGTCCAAAATGACTCCAGATCGTTGTGCAGGTCTGATCTGCAACTACAGGAAACGTTTGGTTGAGGTTATTGCTGCCGAAGGAGGGTCAACCAGTTATTAAGTCCAAAGGTTCACATACTTTTTCCTCCCTGCACTGTGAATGTTTACATGTTATGTGCAATTAAACCATGGCAACATCTAATGTTTGTGTAGTATTATGTTCAGCAGACTGTGTTCTTCTATTGTTGTGACTTAGATGACGTTCAGAGCACATTTTATGCCCAATTCATGCAAAACTCCACGTAATCCAAAGGGGTTCACATACTTTTTCTTGCAACTGTAAGTAAAGGGAAACTCATACAAATGAGCGCAGAGGGGCCACTCCAGGTGGAAACATGTGAACAGTGAATCATGAGCTCACCACTGCTGCCTTGTTAATCATTTGCACGATGAAGAGAACTAAAAAAAAATAGGCGCTGTGGAAAATGCTCTCAGTCAAGCACCTTAATGAAGGTGCATCTTTATTGGGTGAGACAAAGTAGCAAATATAATAAAATATGACCAGCCTGAAGTGAACAGTGTGACTCCAACGGACGGCCCGTCTGCTCTGAAGGGAGCTGGTATCGGAGAAACGCTCCTGCTAGCTTCAAATCACGTGGTGTCAGCG